CAGGAATGCATAACCAAACAATGTCAGTTAATTAGTAGATAAAGCACATCTCGAAACTTTACCACACAGTTTACATAATTGTATATAGCATTTTATGATTGCAAAAGGCTTGACACTGCATGAACTTTTGGGGGGAGAAAAATAGAGAAAAAGGGTTAACTGCACATTCATGCAAGTAGGGTTAGGCTTCCAACAAATATTGAACCAACTTACTCTCTAAAGAGAGTTCCAACACAGGGGACAGCATGCAAAATGAAACCAAACCAAAACAAAACAGAAAATAAACAAACCAATAAAACAAAACAAAAAAGGGAAAAAGATAAAAACACACAAATTAGTGGCCATCAATACAAAGTTCCTGTATAGAATATAAAACAAAATAAAACAAAAAAGGTATTTAAAACTTTTATGATAAATTTAGTAATTTTATTGGGATACCCAATGTATTTTATAAGTAAGCACTTGGCATGTCCTTCAAATAATTTTCCCATTTTCTCCTCCAAGTGATATTCTCTTTTTCTAAGCAATTCCCTACATTCAGATACCACATTAAAGGAAACGCCTAAAAAAAAAAAAAAACCAAACAAAACCACCAACACCACCAACCAAAAGTGATGACAGAATAATTCCTACAGACATTTGAAAAGAGCCTAAGACGAGATTTGTGTAGCCATGTGTGCAATAAAAAATTCACAGCTCATGAACTCGTAATACTTCAAGGATCCTGCCAATAACATATCGAAAACTATTAATAGTTTCGCAACACCAAAAAGCAGGCAAGTTTTCAGTGACTGGAACAGGTGTACCACATGTTCTGTAACAGAGGCCAAATTTTCAAAATCAAAGCAGCATTATTTTACAAAGTGCCCAGTAAATAAAACAATCAACTGGAGTAATTCAATGTAACATTCCTAAAGGCGTAACGAAAAGAGAAAATGCTCTTCTGACACACACAACTAAATTTTGGAATATTTTCGTTGTCCCTCCCTGGCTCCCCCACCACAACAAAAGTCTTCTGATATATGCATACCTGCAGTATAACTAACACAAGAACAAGAAAAATTAAACCATGCTGCTATTCACAATTTAGCTACTACTTATTTCTAAACCAGTAATATTCTAACATTTGATTTTCTTTCCTCTCCTCTGACTTAACTGTTCTTTTTATGGAATGTTTTCTTCAGTTTCTCTTTAACTGCTTGGCTTTAGTCTTTTCTTCTGTATTTCTGCAGTATGCGAGCAACTTCAATATCCCGTTGCTGCGCGCAACGCAGGTTTCTTCTACAATACATGGTGTCACAGATAACAGCTAAGTCACTTTTCCCAGCAGGAAAAATAAGGACAGATGAACACTAAGTTAACCTGTCAGGACTTCTCATCACTCTGAAGTTATTTTTCCATTGCAGCAATAAGGAAGACTTAAAAATATGTAAAACATATTGCACAATCAAAGTAGTTTTTCAGAATTCTGCTGGGAAAAGCCAATAGTTCTGAGATAACCAGAAAAATTCAGAGCAAAGTAGTTATAATTTTATCAGTTCTGAAACACAGACAGCAAGTGGGACATGTTACGCTCAAAAGATAAGGTTTATTCCAAACAAGCCTATAATTCAAACAAAATATGAAGTCACATGTTTTTCATGTGATACCATCCTAACTTTATTCAGCTCCTTGCTTACCTGCAGTCCATTCTCTATAGGAAATTACTGCATATAGCCATATTAGTAACCCACCTCCCACAAAAACTGTTAAAATACTATCAGGCAAAGTAACTCATTTAAAAATATTTGAATGGTCTCAGAAAACAGAAGAATTATTCTCCTTGTTCTATCATTCACAACGGGTCTTTACCTAGGTAAAAGTGAATAAAACATCGTATTTTCTTTAATACCAAAGTATAGTCCCCACCTTACTTATTCAGTACTAAATTCTATTCATTATATTCTATTCTATTACTATTCTATTTATTATAGAATACAGTTTGTCAAGTTCTGACACATGCAAATATCACTGACGTATCTCACTGCAACTGGCTTTCTATTTATGTATGTTTTCAAACATTTGCTGAAATTTAGAAAAAACTAACATACCTTACTGTGAGGATCCGCAAACATTCTCGTGAAGATTTCACACAACCTTTTCAACTCAACACGACTGTCAAAGTGACAACAATACACTAGTCAGCTGCCCTGCTCGTACCCACACAACACTAATGCATAGCAATGAAATCAGCTGTAAATATTGAATCAAATAATCCAGTAAATGAAGTAGCGAGAAGTATTTTAAGACTCGAATAAAAACGTAATAGGTTTTGTTTAAAAAGAGACTTTCAACCCAGAAATGTCTCTCTAAACTAATTCATATATTTTATCATTGACTATTTTAACAGAGCAGATAATGAAAAAGGTATTCTTAGTAGCTAGTATTAAACAGTCGCTTCTAAAAAAATACCCAATTAAAAAAATAATAAAATAATCAAAGATAAATTCTTAGATAAATACAAACAAAGGCCTTCTTCCATCAATACTGGAAGTGTGCACTTTAGGAATTTTTAGTATTGCAAGAATTGACTTGATTTTGAATTCTGTTTCTTAAACTAAGCTTTTTAAACAGTGGCCAGAAGTGACAACAGCTTCCTCATTCCTTCCCCAATCTTACACTCACAGACACACACCCTGCTTTCCCTCTCCCCAACTTTCTGCAATGCTTTAGAACATGAGCCTCCTTTCCTACTTCCCTCGCCTCCCTTCACCTCTGAAATAAAATGTTTTCCTATGAACATGTCTTCTTACCTTAAAGTTCTCTGGTTCTTTAATAAGTTTTGGAGGCCTAGGAGGCCCTCTTTTCTCTCTGACCAGTTGGAGCTGGCACAGCGGTTTAGGACTTCAGCTACATCTTCTGTCTGTCTCATATATGTTGGTATGCTTCCATTCCTAGAGCTATAGGACCTTTCGGAACAGGCACTTGATGCATCACTGTTGGCGTCATCATCGGAGTACATCCCGTAGGACTCGTATCTTCTTCGCACAGGCTTCTTCTATTGTACAGAAACATCCCACATGAGCAGTGATTTTCAAAGGCAGAGTATACGCAACCCTAACCAGTAGAAAGACCAACAGCTCAAATAATCGGCGTGACCCCTACTCCCTGCAGTGACAAATGGCTCCAACTGTTC